GAGAGAAGTGAGGGTTGAGTCACAGATGCGTCCCAGCTGAGGCCAGTGGGGCGCTGAATGGCTTTTCCTGCACTGGCTCCTCCCATCTTCTCCCCACTCCAAGGACACCTTCTCTGGACATCACGTGCTCTCCGGCCACAGACCTATCAACATTCTGACAGCTTTCTGATCTTGACCCATTATGCTTTTAATATATTGCCGGATTCGGTTTGTTAGTATCTCGTTAAGTATTTTTATCTCACAGGGGAAACTGATCTGAATCTCCTTTTCTTGTAATGTCTTGGTCTGGCTTTAGAACACTGGCCTTTTAAAAGGCCCCGCAAGGCGTTCCACGCCATCTTCTAGCTGTTCTTTCCTTCCTACATGCCAGATAGAATTCACCCGTGAAGCTATCTAGGCCTAGACTTCTTCTGGGAAAGTTTTAAATTTCTAAATCAATTTCTTAAATAGATACAAGGTTACTTATATTTTCTATTTTTGCTGACAGTTGTGGCTGTCAGGCACTTCATCCATTTCCCATGGCTGTGGAGCAGGAGCATCAAGCTTTAACTACATCCCACAAATTCTAATGTCATGTTTTTATTCTCATTCAACTTGAAATATTCTCGTTTCCCTTGTGCTTTCATCTTTCTCAAGACGCTTTTTTTTAGAGGAGTTTTGGGTTCTCAGCAAAATTGAGAGGAAGGTACAGAGATTTCCCTACTCTCTGCCCCAACAAACGCACAGCCTTCCCTATTATCAACGTCCCGCACCAAAGTGGTGCTTTTTTGAGACAGGGTCTCGCTCTGTTGCCCAGGCTGGGTAACGATCAACATGCCCAGATCATGTTGTGCAAGTGGCATGATCACAGCTCAGTGCAGCCTCGAATTCCTGGGCTCAAGAGATCCTCCTGCCTCAGCCTCCCAAGTAGGTGGGACTATAGGCATGCACACCCACTCAGTCCCAGAGCAGCCGATTTGTTACAGCTGATGAACCTACATGGACACGTCATTACCCAAAGCCCACGATTTACACTGCAGTTCACTCTCAATGCCCGGGGCCCACACTTTACACTGGGGTTCAATCTCGATGCCCAGGGCCCACACTTTACACTGGGGTTCACTCTCGATGCCCAGGGCCCACACTTTACACTGGGGTTCACTCTTGATGCCCGAGGGCCGACAGTTTACATCGGGGCTCACTCTTGATGCTGCACATTCTCTGGCTTTGGACAAATGTACAATATCCTGTATCTGCCATCACAGTGTCAGGCTAGAGTAGTTTCACTGCCCTAAAAATCCTCTGTACCCTGCTTATTCATCCCTCTCCTGGCCCTAACTCCAGCATCCACTGGTCTTTTTTTTAAGTGTTTTTACAACTGACTTTATTACTGTTTCCACAGTTTTGCCTTTGAGGATGTGATCTATTTGGAATCACAAAGTATGCAGCCTTTCCAAACTGCACAACTTTTTCACTCAGTTATATGCATTTAAGGGTCCTCTGCGTCTCTTCACGGCTTGATAGCTCATTTCTTTTTAGTGCTGAATCATATTCCACTGACTGCCCCAAAGTTTATTCACTCATTCACATACTCATTCACCAACATTTTGGTTGCCCTCACATTTTGGAAACTATGAATAAACAGCTATCAGCATCTGTGTGCAGGTGCTTGTGTGGACATAAGTTTTCAACTCCTTTGGGTAAATACCAAGGAGTGCAACTCCTGGATATATGGTGAGAGTATGTTTTGTTTTGTAAGGAACCACCAAGCTGTCTTCCAAAGTGGCTGTATCTACCCAAGTTATCAAAAGAGGAAAAAAAAAAGCAGAAATTAAAACAAAACAAAACAAAGTGACCACACCATTCTGCATTCCCACCACCGAGTTCCTGTTACTCCACATCCTCACCAGCATTTGGTGGTGTCATTGTTCTGGATTCTGGCCACTCTAAGGGGTATACTGGTAGTTTTAATCTGCATTCCCCTGATGACACATGATGCGGAATGTTTTCAAATGCTTATTTAACAACTGTGTATCTTCTTTGGTGCAGTGTCTGTTAGGTCTTTGGCCCATTTTTAAACCAGATTTTCTTACTGTTGGGTTTGAAGAGCTCTTTTGGATACTGATCCTTTGTGTTTTTCAAATATATTCTCCCAGTCTCTGACTTGTCTTTTCATTTTCTTGACAGTCTTTGCAGAGCAGAAACTTTTAATTAATTAATGTATTTACTGAGACAGGATCTCCCTCTTTCACACAAGCTAGAGCACCATGGTGCAATCACAGTTCACTGCAGCCTCGACTTTCCAGGCTCAAGTGATCCTCCCACCTCAGTGTTCCAAGTAGCTGGGACAACAGGCACTTATCACCAAACCTGGTTAATCTTTTTATTGTTTTGTATGGACGAGGTTTCACTGTGTTACCCAGGCTGGTCTCAAACTCCTGGGCCCAAGTGACCCTCCCACCTTGGCCCCCCAAAGTGCTGGAATTACAGGCATGAGCCAGAAATTTATTATTTTAAATGAAGCCCAACCTATCAATGTTTTCCTGCATGGATCATGCCTTTGGTGTCATATCTAAAGAGTCACTGCCAAACCCAAGGTCACCTGGATTTCCTATGTGACATTCTAGGGGTTTTATAGTTTTGTGTTTTACATTTAGGTCTCCGATTCATCTTGAGTGTGTCTAGATGTGAAGGGTATGTCAAGGTTCACTTTTTTACAAATGGAGTTTGGTTGTTTCAGCATAATTTGTGGAAGACTGTCCTTTGGCCATTGAATTGGCTTTGCTCCTTTGCTACTGATTTTCAGTTCAGCTTAAGTCTCCTTGGTGGGAAGTACGCTCCGCGTGACGTCAGCTTAAGTCCGCCGTGGTGGGAAGTATGCTCCGCGTGACATCAGTCCTTTCTGGCATCCTGAGACTCATCTCCTGAGCCGCTATGGTCCACCTAAGCACACGGGACACAGGCTCTTGAAAAGCGTGTGCTTCACCGTTAGGTGAAGTATCCTCTCAATAGCCCATGCCTGTGTTGGTGGTAATGATGTTGTTTCTCCCATTAAAAGTGTGAATTTATGTCATGCTCTTCAATTCTGCAGTTTTGTTCATGTATTTTGAAGCTGTTATTAAGTGCATATACACTTAGGATTGTTACGTCCGGATAAACTGATCCTCTTTTCATTATTGTCTCTTATTTCTGGTATCATTCCTTGTCCTACAGTCTATGCTGATATTAAAAATATCAAGATTCTGAAACTTTACATCATAGCAAACAGAGAAAGCCTACGATGGCACCAGGGAAAAGACTTCAGGATGTTCAGTATCTGTCCCTGATAAAAATAAATTTGAACTCAAAAATCTTTAATAACTTACTCAAGATAGCAAACTTGATTTTTAATCACATTGAGCCAAGTATCCCCTCAGACAGAAGCTGCACAGGCGCAGCCACCATCTCTTCCTGGTCGTTTCTTTTGCCAAGAGCACATCACGGTGATGAGTCCTCTACGACAGGTCACCCTCCTGGCACCCAGAGACGCCGACGGGGGAGAAACAGACTCCTCTGCATTATGATCCAACTGTGAACAAGAAAGCCTCTTTGTGGGACAGAAAAAATACACTCGCTTTAAACAACAGACTGAACACAGATGTGATTTATAAAGGAGAAGACAGGGCAGGACAGTAACACTGAAGTCCTGCATGTGTTAGTAACACTGAAGGTGGCAGGGAACCGCTGTGTCCTGTGACTTGAAGGCCACTGTGAAGGAAAACAATGCAGTGAAAGAAAGTTCCTCCTATGTAGACATGCCTCTCATTTATTTTTCTAGATATGTCTATGGGCTTTAAAAGATATTAAAATAGACTAGCTATTATCTCTTAAAAGAGAGACATATTTTCCTCGGATAACTGGAGGCATGCCTGTGACTCCTCACACTACTCCTGTTCCCTGAACCAGGCTGGGCATCCCACTCATTCCACAGGCGGCTGAGGCAGGACAGCCAGAAACCCCAGACCTGCCATTGCTCCCCAGGTTGAAAGAAACACAGCATGACAGCCTTCTGCTAAGGGCATCAAATGTCTGTTTATTAAAGTAGTTGTTCATAAAAGTATAAAGATGGATTTACATTTCATTTCCAGAAAACTGTTATTTTGTACAGTGATCTGGCCGTGGCTAGGAGGCCCAGGGACAGTAGCCGCTGCTCCAGGCAGAGTCTGGGATTCACTGTCTGTCCTGTTGCTCCCCCAGGTGGGGAGAACACATGGGCTGAAGAAAAAAACAGCACGTGCAAACCTGACAGATGCCAAGGGTCCCAATACAATTCCTTCAGCCAAACTAAACCCTAGTTTCAAGATGTGTAGGAAAGTGTTGACACTCTACAGGAAGCTGCCTGCACGTGCAGCCAACCAGGCCCTGCATGCTCCAAGCAGGCAGGCGAGTCCCAAGGAGAGTCAGTGACAGCACATGGGGCAAGGGAGCTGCGCAGGAGACCCCAGAGGGCATGGAGCCTGGGTGAGAGCCCTGGACCCCGCACCAAGGCAGAGGGGTGGCCCTGAAGGACTCTAGGCAGGAAATGACAGGCTCTGAGGGTGTCCAAAGATCTCTACTGCCTGAGCGAGGACAGTCAGCCAGGGGGAGGGCCCAGGGGCTGCCACCTGCCCAGGAGGTGGCAGGGAGGGGAGGAAGAGCAGATGAGGAGGCGTGGGTGTGCCCTTGGCAAGGCAGCAGTGGTGACGAAGTTCTCAGTGACTCCTCCCAACGGCCAGGGAGAACAGTGACAGTCTCAGGGTGGCTCTGAGCACGTGAATGGCTCATCCACATCAGTCAAAGGCATAGCCAGGACCTGAACTTCCTATCGTAAGCCCTACATCCATGCAAGCCAGACCAGTGGGGTCAGAAGCTAGAAGGGAGCTCAGAGGATCACCCAGAGAAGCCTCCCCCGACACCTGGCCCTCACTCCAGCCCAGAGCACCTGCCTGAGCACCTGCATGAGACTGGCAGCAGCTGTAGGGGAGCCTTGGGTATATATTCTATGCCTCCAGGGTGCCATCCTGCTCAGCCAGCCTAGAGTGGTGACAGGCTGGGCGCTGGCTGTCCCTGTACAGAACAGTGCCCTGAGATAGTGACCATGACTGCTGTCTGCCCCTCACCCCTGGTTACGCTGTGCCTCCCAGATGCATTTCTGTCCATAGGGCCACTATAAACCCTGTAGGCACCTCACAAACCGCATTCCTTGCGGGTGAGTTCACGACCCACGGGTATGGAGGCTCCCTGTTAAACAACCTCGGGATGCTCCCTGACACCCCCCCAAATGCAGGCAAGCTCATGACCCAGGGGCATGGGGTTCCCTGCTGCACAGCCTCGAGATGCTCCATGAGCACCCCCTGCACTGGGCTGTTCACGGATGTGCACTGTACATGCCATTGTCAGAATCGCCCTTGTGTCTGTCAGCCTGGCAGACAGAAGGTGCAGGAGCAGCCTGCCCAGGGCCAACCCCAACCCAGAGCCCACATGACAGTGCCAGGTAGGAATCGCACAGGTGCAGCTGTTCCTCTCCCAACTCTGCTATTGGTCAGAAAAACCCTGCTAGCCTCACTCCCTAGGGAGGCCGTGCCCAGAGGCAGTGAAAGGCACTGTGCCTCCCCAGGGCTGTGGCTCCTGTGCCCCCTCCTCACCCAAGCCTGACAAGCCACTCTCAGAAATGAGCCTATGGTAAAAATCAAGAGTCTAAGCCACCCACCCTGTCCCCATCCCTGCCTCCAGCCTGGTCCCCAGACTCATGTCTGTGAGGCAGAGGTTGAGGGGCTGGAGCCAGAGACAGGGTTATGGGAGGGCTCCCCCACCCAGCCAGGACCCCTTGGCCTTACTGGACCACACAGACGGCACCCAGCAGGCGGGCATGTTCTCAGGGGTGGCCGGCAAGAGCTCTCTCAGGGTAAAGCTGGGAGAAGCGGCCGAGGGCCCAGATGGGGAAGACATTCCTGTAGCTCGTGTAGGAGATGGCACAGGACTTGTTGAAGACCCCAGAGATGTTTTCCTGAAAGAACACAGAAAAATAAACACAAAGGCTCCACCGGTCAGCTGAGGGCTAGTCCCTGAACTGTACCCTGGCTGCTGGCTTGGCGGTAAGCCTGGGAAGGGCTGATTAATCGAGAGCATGGGAAAGCAGGCAGTCCATCCCACGTCAGTCAGGCACCATCAGCCGAGCTCAGACTCCCCGTCCTGCAGCAAACTGAGCCGGGGTCACCAGCCCCTCATGACCAGGTCAGCTTCCACCAACTCAGCCTCATCCCAGGGGAGGGTAGTTGGCCTTACATGATCTCATGACACCCACACCACAGGGATAAGCAGAGGCCGCCTCCTGCCCTTCCGGCTCAGTGAGGGGCCACCAGGTCGTCTGGAGCCGGAGGGTCTGTCCTGGAGCAAAAGGGCTTCCCGCCCACTGGCTTCTCCCATCCAGCTCCTCCCCCAGCCAGAGCATCACTTGCAAAAACAGCAAGACCTGGACTTTAGGACCCAACAACCTACCACAGACCTGCCACCAACTCTGGCATTCACTGGCAGAGTTGATGCCTCCCAAGCGTCCAAAGTACCCCAGAGAAGACACAGGGCAAGGGGACGTGGAAACAGCCACACACGATGGAGGCTGGTGCTGGGCCTTATGCACTCAGGCCCCTGGTGGCATACCTGGGGCCAGTCGCCGTTAGGGAGCTGTTTGTCAAGCAGACACCGGACTCCTCTCTCCTGGGCCTTGACGTCAGGATGCCTGGCGGAAGAGGAGGCTGAAACACGCCCCCCGAGCATCACCCTCACCCTCACACGGCCAAGTCTAGGGACAAACCCTGGAATGCTGCAGTGAAAATGGATGCACCTAAACCGACATCTACAGGCCCCACCAGGTGCAGTCAGCACCTGGGGCTCCTGCTGCACCTTTCCTAGGCTCCCTGAGAAGCGGAGACACAGTGATGACAGGTTGGAGACACAGGCCTCCTCAGGCCTGCCCTGGTGGCTCCAGCACAAGACGCTCTTCTGTGCCCCCCAAAGAGGAGCCCAAGACTGTTCCCACCCAGCCCACTGGTCTTCAAGGGCCTCTGGAAGCCACAGGAGCTCACACTTGCTTGCTGGCCAGGATGATACCAAGCAGGACCCAGGGCTCAGTGGACCCAGCTTAACTGTGGGTCCCTGACTATCCTGCCGTCAGGGGTCCCCCAGACTCTGCTGCTCCTGCTCAAACAGACCTGTTCTAGCTTTTAGGAAGATTCCCCAGATGGCCACAAACCTAATAGGGCAGCACAGACGGGATGCTGTGGGTGCATCTGTGTGTGTGGGTACACAGGTGCCTGTGCACGCATACGTGTGTGCATAGACCTATGTGTGTGTGCATCTGTCTCCATGTATGTACCTATGTCTATGTGCGGCACAGATGGGATGCTGTGGGTGTGTGTGTGGGTACACAGGTACCTGTGCATGCATACATGTGTGCATACATACTGTGTGTGTGTGTATCTGTCTCCATGTACGTATGTCCGTGTGCAGCACAGATGGGACGCTGTGGGTGCATCTGTGTGTGTGTGTACACAGGTGCCTGTGCACGTGTACGTGTGTGCATACATACTGTGTACATCTGTCTCCATGTGCATATGTCTGTGTGTGCACATGCACACCTGCATGTGGCTGCGCATGTGTGCACCAGGCACATATGTGGCTTGGCACCAGCTGTGGACACAGGAGGGCCATAGAAAGCAGCTGCCACTGCCGCCATCACTACCACACCAGGAAGCAGCATCCTCATCACAGCCCACCTCACCGTTTCCAGGGGTCCCTGATGCCGATGCTCTGCCACCAACACTGCAAATGGTGGGTGGTTCACTTTTAAGAGGCGAGCCTCTCTGTAGGGCCCCATGTGGTCAGAGCGACCCATCTCCTTGCCCTGGGAACCTGGCACGTGGCTCTGGTAGACGTCTCTGTTCCCTGAGTGGCAGCTGAATCGCCTCTGGCCCACAGGCCTCCCCTACTCCTCTCTACATTCACTCAGCCCAGGCCACTTGCTCACAGCTGAGTGTCCCTCCTCCACCCAAACCCAGGGCTCAGGGATGGGGCCCATCATCCCCACCGAACGGCCATCAGCCCCATCAGGGCCCAGCAGGTGTTGTGGATCTGGGACTGGGCGCTCTGCACGTAACACCGCTGCTCGCAGGACTCAAAGTCCTCCCCCCAGCCTCCGTCTGCCATTTGCCGGGACAGCAGGAAGTCACAGGCCCAGGAGACCTCTGCACAGGCAGTCCTGTAGAGACCAGAGACAGTAGACACCATCACACCAGGGAAGGTCCCAGGGAAGGGCCCCTAGTTTCTCACCCTAGCAGGCTGCCTTAGGGTATGGGGAGGAGCCTACACTACAGGGTCGCCCTATGTGAGGGCCATGGACCACTACTGAAACCCCTGAGCTTGACTTCCACAGATGTGAAGTGGGAGCAGATACTCCTGGCTCCCAGAGTCATTGGGGTGACAAAGGGACATGCGAGTACTGCAGATGGCCGCACAGACGTGTCAGACTGAGTGCGGTCTGCAGTGCTTGTGAGCAATGCCTTATAAGCTGCATCCAGACAAGCACAGTGCTCCCCACCCCCAAACACCCACACGGGAAAGAGTGGGGCAGCTGGAGACAGGGCTGGGACCGGAGGCCTCTTGCCTTCTAACCTGGTCTGGGGGTACCTGGACCCTAATCCTCCTACTCAGGGTTGGGAGGCATCTGTGTGCCTGGAGGGGCTGGAAGCCAGACGTGTTCCTCCAGCACACATTTCAGGAAGCTCTGGAGAGCTGTGGGACCAGGGAAGCATCCTCATTTCAACCTGAGACCTTGTCTGAGAAACCGATCTTATCTCACTGTTTAAAAATATTAAAAACAGGCCAGGTGTAGTGGTTCATGCCTGTAACCCAGCACTTTGGGAGGTCGAGGTAGGAAGATTACTTGAGCGCAGACCAGCGTGAGCAACACAGCAAGATGCCATCTCTGCATGAAAGTTTTAAAAAATTAGGTGTGCAATTAAAAAAAAAGAAAGAAAAGAAAATTAGTCAGGTGTGGTGGCGTGCACCTGTGGTCCCAGCTATTTGGGAGGATCGCTTGAGCCCAAGAGTTCGAGACTACAGTGAGCCTGGATCATGCCACTGCATGTCAGCCCTGTTGACAGAGTATGACTCTGTTTAAAAAAAAAAAAAAAAAAGAAAAGAAAAAACCACCCCTATAATCAAACATTAAAGCAAACAACAGTCATGTCAGCGGATTGGGCTGAGAACCCCGCCCACCAGAGGACCGGCACTCACTCACTCACCCATCTCGGTAGCTCTGCCCCATGCAGGCAAAGGCCTCCAGGCCAAACCAGGTGCCGTAGGTGAAGCACACCCCCCAGGACCTGGAGGGAGACAAGGAGAGCCTCAGCCCTTCAACCCATGTTCACAGCCGGTGTGTGAAACCACAGGCATTCTGTGACATTCACACGTGCCCCAGCCAGCCCACCAACTCCAGTGCCTCAGGTGTTAGGGCCACGGAAGACAGCAGCTCCATCTGCTGGGCCCACCAGCCAGACACCCGAGAACAAGCAGTGAGGGTGGAGGGGAACAGCCACACTCAGGCGACAGTGCACATCCAACACAGGCTGGCTGCACCCAGCAACATGCTGAGCAATTTCACCAAGGCAGAGGCCAGGCATGCCAAAAAAGGAACAAGGTCCCCCAGAAGTCATGGGCTGGCAGCTCACTTCCAGAAACGTCTGGTGCAGCACCAACATACCACCCAACATTTATGAAGGCAGTGTGTGAGAGTAGAAACCTCTGGATCCCACGCATGTCTGCACTCATGGGCGGGGCTCACTCACCCTTCCCAGGAGCCGTCTGCCCTCTGCTGCCGCCGACAGAACTCTAAGCCCTGCTTGAGGGTCTCCCTGGAATACATGAGATTGGCCCAATGAACAATCCGGCAAAACGGCAGTTTGCCTATCCCAATTCCAGCCATTTCAGGGTCTCAAAAGAATGAGCATGGTCTCCCTTAAAAACCACATAAAAATAAACAGTTTACACAGACCTATGAGGGTTTTTAAACAAAGCAACTACAGGACACCAGAGCGGGAAGCAGACTGGCAGAGTCTGAAAAAGGGATGGCGAGGAAAGCAAGGCCTCGGTAAGAAGCCCCTGCAAACACGGCTGCAAACAGGAGCAGCATCACTGAGACCCAGTGGCCCGGGCTTGAGCAAACCAAATGAAGTGAACTAAATAAGAACAGGAAAAAATCACTTAGAGAGAAAACAACAGATTTAGAAGACAAGGAAGACCCATCCCAGATCTAACTGGTATTTCTAAAAACAACCAGTTCTCCAAAAAGGCTGGAGTGAAGTGTCTATTCTGGTGTCAGCCTGCAGGATGTGAGACTCATCTTTAACCAGCAGATCAAGCAGGGCTGATAGGTGTCGGTCCTGGGACTAAGGTCCATGTGATTGCAGCTCCCATCGTGCTCACAAACTCCCTCTACCAACTCTCTCTTCTGGTTTTTGTGAGATGCCATCTAGAGAGGCCCCCACAGCAAAAGGCAGTCAGCAGCTTCCAGCTGAGGAAAGGGATCCTGCTGAGGACCCCGTGTGCTCAGAGGCAGAGCCTTCCTCACTGGAAGCTCAGGCGAAACCCCAATCCTAATACCTGACTGAAGCCTGGGGAGACCCTGTGGCCAAGGACCCGAGAGGTGCGCCTGGACTTCTGACTGACAGAAATGGTGAAGTAATAAATGTGTGTTCTTCTAAGCCACTAGGTTTGTACTAACACTGTCACCAGCAACAGGTGAAACAAAGAGTCAACAAACAAATTAATAAAAGCAATAAAAGAAGTGACAGGACTACACTAGATATGGTGAGACATAGAACGTTTTATGTATTACATTTGAAAACTTAGACAAAATGTACAAATTAGAAAAATTAACTTATCAAAACTGCCTCAATCAAGAAACAGAGAACCTAAACAGTCCTAAAACTACTAAAAGAATGAGTCAAAATCTAAACTTTTCCCAGAAAAAAACCTCTAGGCCTAGGAATTTTTAAGTGAATTCGACTAAATTATCAGGCACGCTCATTCAAATCTCACACAAACTCTTCCAGAGAATAGAAAGAGGAGGAACATTCTCTAGTTCATTCTAGGAACCCAGAGAAATAAGATGTGGAAAAGTGAAATTTTCAGGCTACTTCACTAATGAACACAGATGCAAAACTCCAAATTAAAACTGAGAAACTGAATACTGTCTTAAATATAGACCAATACAAAGGTCTATCTCAGAAATACAAAGGCGTCTTAACATTAGAAAAATCCATAATAATCCTCTACAAATTAACAAACGACACAAATATATAATCATCTCAAAGCAGACAGGGCAGTTTGAGACCAGCCTGGGTAACAGAGCAAGACCCCATCTCTATAAAAAAATTTAAACCTTAGCTGGGCACGGTGATGCATGCCTGTGGTCCTAGCTACTCAGGAGGCTGAGACAGGAGGATTCCTTGAGCCTAGGAGTTTGAGGCTACTGTGAGCTATGACAGCACCACTGCACTCCAGCCTGGGCAACAGAGGGAGACCCCATCTCTTTTTTTTTTTTTTTTTTTGAGACGGAGTTTCGCTCTTGTTACCCAGGCTGGAGTGCAATGGCGCGATCTCGGCTCACCGCAACCTCCGCCTCCTGGGTTCAGGCAATTCTCCTGCCTCAGCCTCCTGAGTAGCTGGGATTACAGGCACGCGCCACCATGCCCAGCTAATTTTGTGTATTTTTAGTAGAGACAGGGTTTCACCATGTTGACCAGGATGGTCTCGATCTCTTGACCTCGTGATCCACCCACCTCGGCCTCCCAAAGTGCTGGGATTACAGGCGTGAGCCACTGCGCCCGGCCAGACCCCATCTCTTTAAAAAAAAAAAAAAGAAGAGTCAATTGTTTTCCTACAAGCAATGAACAATTAGATTTTGACATTTAAAACACAATGCCATTTACATTAGCTCCAAAAAATTGAAATCCTTAGGTATAAACAACAAAATATGTACAAAATCTATATATGATGACATCTACAAAATTCTGATGAAAGAAATAAAAGATCTACCCAATTTGAGCTATAGATTCGATGGAATCCCAACCAAAGTCTCAGCATTTTGTTAATATCAACAGACTGATTCTAAAATGTACAGGGAGAGGGAAAAAAACCCAGAACAGCCACTGCACTGTTGAAAGAGAACACTGACGTGAGAACACTGACACTAATTGAGTTCAAGGCCTTCTACAGAGCTACAGGAACCGAGACAGGGTGGTACTGACGAAAAGAACAAATAAACCAATGGAACAGAACAGAGAGCTCAGAAATAGACCCACGCAAATGCAGTCAACTGAGTTTTTACAAAGGAGCAAAGGCAACAAAATGTCACAAAAAAAGTCTTCTCCACAGATGGTGCCAAAACAACTGGACATCCACATGCAACAAAATCTAGACACAAACCATAAACCCTTCACAACAGTGAACTCAAAACAAATCATGGACCCAGATGTAAAACGCAAAACTTAACAACTCCTAGAATATAACACGGGAAACAATCTAGGTACCCTTGGGCTTGGCAGTAACTTTTTAGATACAGCACATGATACATGAAAGAGAACACTGATAAGCTGGACTCCATTAAAATAAAAACTGGCTCTGCAAAAGATACTATTAATAGAACGAAGAAACAAGACACAGACTGGCAGAAAATACCTGTGAAAGACATATCTGATAATGGGCTGGCAGCCAAAATATACAAAGAACTAAAACTCAACAATAAGAATACCCAATTTAAAAATGAACCAAAGACTTTAACAGACACTTCGCTGAAAAAGATATACTGGTGGCAACTACTGTATGAGATTTTAACAGAATGTCATTAGGGAACTACAAACTGAAACAAGGAGATAGCACTACGCACCTCTTAGGACAGCTAAAACCCAAAACACAACACCAAATGCCGGTGAGGATGTGGAACAACAGGAAGGCTCATCATTGCTGGTGGAAATGCAGACGGTGCAGCCACTTTAGAATACAGCTTGGTAGCTTCTTACAGAACACGCTCTTACCATGGGATCCAGCAATCACGCTCCTTGGCATTTACCCAAATGAGCTGAAAACTTACATGCATGCTAACATTGATAGCAATTTTATTCATAGTTGCCAAAACTTGGAAGCAAGTAAGGCATTCACCTCAGTAGATGAATGGATAAACTGTGGTACATCCAGACAATGGAGTATTATTCGGCACTAAAAACAAACGTGCTATCGAGCCAGAGAAAGACAGTGAGGAACCTTAAATGCTTATTATTAAGTCAAAGAAGCCAGTCTGAAAGGCAAAACTATAGAGACAGTAAAAATATCAGTGTTTGCTACTAAGGGGTTCCGGAGGTGGGGACAGGGGATGATGGGTGGAGCACAGTGGACTCTGGGGCAGTGAAATTACTGCGTGACACTGCAATGGTGGACACATGCATTACACATCTGTGAAAACCACAGAATGAACAACAGAAAGAGGAACCTGAATGTAAACAACGGACTTCGGATGACAATAATTTATGAATGTTGACTCATCAACTAGCAAATGCACCAATTTAATGCAAGATGATAATATCAGCAGAAACTTGGTGGAAGGTGGGAGGAGTTAGTGGCTTTATGGGAAAATGGCATCTTCCACTCAAATTTTCTGTAAATTTAAAACAGCTATAAAAGATAAAGAGCATAATTTTTTTTAAAGTTTAGCAAATTGTCTAGCTATGAGATCAGTATCAAAATCAATTGCATAAGAATTTATGAGTCCACAGTGATAATAAATAAGTAAATAAACAGAGGCAAAGGAAAAGCTTTTGGAAGAACACCAACTAATACATATGGAAGGAATGACAATTTTGCAAGCATTATGCAAATAATTGATTCAGGCAAGAAACATCCACAAATGCTAACAATAACAGGTATAAGTCTGATGAGAAATAAGACATTTACATAGCCTAAAACTGTCTCCCAATTAAAAAAAAAACAGCAACTTCATAGTGGAGAAACTAAGTACAGTGGTCATCACCGTCATCAAGGGATCAAAGTGGATGTGTGCTTTCTGGTAGGATGCAGGAGAAGGCCCCACTTCTTCTGCAATATTCCTGACAAAAATGTACAACTTCATAAACTGAATCTAATCATGAGACACCAGGAAAAAAAAAGAAAAAAAAACACTGAGAATATTCTACAAAATAACTTGCTGAAGAATTCAAAAATGGCATGGTCATCAAACACAAGGAAAGACTAAGGAATTATTCCAGGTTAAAGGAGTGTCAATGTTATAACTAAATGCAACCCATGTGCACAGTAAGAAGGATAAGGAAAAAAGAAAAAGAAAAGAAAAATAATTAAAAATAAATAAATAGGCCAGGCGTGGTGGCTCAGGCCTGTAATCCCAGCACTTTGGGAGGCCGAGGTGGGCGGATCACGAGTTCAAGAGATCGAGACCATCCTGGCCAACATGGTGAAACCCCGTCTCTGCTAAAAATACAAAAAAATTATCTGGGCATGGTGGTACATGCCTGTAGTCCCAGCTACTCGGGAGGCTGAGGCAGGAGAATTGCTTAAACTCGGGAGGTGGAGGTTGCAGTGAGCCAAGGTCGTGCCACTGCACTCCAGCCTGGCGCCTGGTGACGGAATGAGACTCTGTCTCAAAAAATAAATAAATAAAAAATAAAAATAAATAAATGCAACCCTAATATAGGATTAAAGCTTGAGGAAAAATTTTGCCATAAAGGACATTATTGGAACAATTAGGCCAATCTGAATAAGGCCTGCAGATTAGTATTTCATCAACATTAACATTCTGACTTACACTTGCACAAAAGAATACACCTGCTAAGAAATACTCAAGCAGTTAGAAACACAGTACATCCTATCTGCAACTTCTGCAATGGTTCAAGAAAGAGTATCTGTGGAGCACATGGGAAGGAAGGCAATGAATCCCACAGAGTAGAATGCCACCCACTAAGGAATCCTAGTAAGAGGAAACAGGAGCACTTTTTATTAATTTTGCAACTTTTCTATAAATTTGTAAATTTAGGGGAGAATTTAAGTCTGTGTAGTAAAATAGAATATTCCATATAAACAGTGTTAAAGTAACTGGCAATCCCATACTGTATCTCAAAAACTCTCTAGGTAAATTTAAAATCTTTTTTTTTTTTTTTTTTTTTTTTTTGAGATGGAGTTTCGCTCTTGTTACCCAGGCTGGAGTGCAATGGCGCGATCTCGGCTCACCGCAACCTCCGTCTCCTGGGTTCAGGCAATTCTCCTGCCTCAACCTCCTGAGTAGCTGGGATTACAGGCACACGCCACCATGCCCAGCTAATTTTGTGTATTTTTAGTAGAGACGGGGTTTCACCATGTTGATCAGGATGGTCTCGATCTCTTGACCTTGTGATCCACCCGCCTCGGCCTCCCAAAGTGCTGGGATTACAGGGTTGAGCCACCGCGCCCGGCCTTAAAATCTTAATATAAAAATCAGACTAATATATTTAACCATTTAAAAGTTGAAAACTTGGCTGGGTGTGGTGGCTCACACCTGTAATCCCAGCACTTTGGGAGGCCAAGGCAGCGGATCACGAGGCCAAGAGATCGAGACCATCCTGGCCAACATGGTGAAACCCCATCTCTACTAAAAATAAAAAAAAATAAAAAAATAAAAAATTAGCTGGGCATGGTGCCACATGCCTTTAGTCACAGCCACTCAGGAGGCTGAGGCAGGAGAATCCCTTGAACCCGGGAGGCAGAGGTTGCAATGAGCCAAGATCGCGCCACTACACTCTAGCCTGGGCGACAGAGCAAGACTTCATCTCAAAAATAAAAATAAAAATAAATAAATAAAAGTTTAACACTTACGTTCAAACACCCTAAAGAGATAAAAAGAAAGAAATTGAGGAGAAAATATCTGTAACATAATACACAAATACTTTATTGTGCTTAAAAATGAAAGAAAAACCATCTTAGTGAAAATTTTAAAAATGGCTGGGGCTGGTGGCTTACCACGTAATCCCAGCATTTGGTGATGCTGGGGTGGGAGGATGATTACTTGAGCCCAGGAGTTCAAGACCAGCCTGAGCAGCAGAGCTAGACCCCATCTCTACAAAACATTTTTAAAATTAGCCAGGAGTAACAGTATACACACCTTTATTCCCAGCTACTCAGGAGGCTGAGGTGGGAGGATTGCTTGAGCCCAGGAGTTTGAGGCTGTGGTGGGCCATGATTTCACCACTATACTCCAGCCTAGATAACAGAACGAGACTCTGTCTAAAAAAATAAATTATAAAAAAGGTTCTAGCTTGGAAGTCACCAAAGAAATGCAGAGGAAACCCACGATGAAGTCACCACGGCTCCCCATGCGCCACATCCGGGATCCATTTCTACACAGTGACAACAGGTGACATGCAGTTTCCTGCGGCACCTCTCACAATCCCTCCGCTCTGCGAGGCTGTACTCTTGCCCACCCAGGCAGGGAAAGAGATGAGCAGAGAAGTGACCAGGCCAGGTCAGCCAGAAGAGGGAGGGTTGGCGGCCCACCCCGGCAGGCAGACCCCAAGCCATACGGCTCTAGGGAATAATAATGGTCATGAATAAATATTTAACAAGAAAATACCAGTTAAGGTTAAACTGGGGAAAAAGCTAAAAAAACAACAATGAAAATTGAAAAATAACCCAGAAGCTACTTAGTGAAATGACACAACACCTGTGCCATTACGGTTTGTACTGGAGGAGCATGTTCAATGGTGGGGCTTTTAGAAACCTCACCCAGGCACAAAGTGGGCCAGGCCTGAAGAGGGGTGGCAAACCACCACGGAAATGTGGAGACCAAACAGCAACAGAAGATTCTTATTCAGGGGTGATGAGGGGGCGACTTAGCCTCTTCTTTGTACTTTTCTATATTTTGCAAGTCTTGTCTGTAAAGAACCTGCTTTACATTTATTATAGTGATTTTTAAAAGGTAATATATTTTTTAAAAGTCCAATTCTGTGAGTGTGGCTGAGGACAACTCTCGCCCACTTCACATCACCGGGCAGCACGTGGCCAACGGCTGTGCCAGGCCATGGAAGACAATGAACACACTGCTTCCACCTGCGAAGCACAAGAAAACACCAGCTCCACCCACGGCTTCCAACAAAAACACAACCAGAATATCCTCAGATGTTAAATGAAGCAGCACACTCCCACATAACTCAGGGTCAGAGAAGAACAGTAGAAACAGAAAACACTTTTAGTATTTGTGCTGTCACAGCGGGCACCAAACAACAGTTTTAATTGATGATATATCAAAACTCGTTTATAGCCTCAAGTGCATATTTCAATACAAACCTGAAATCAAATATCTAAGCATTCAAGTTAGAAAAATAAAGGAGAAAGAAAACAACAAAGGCCAGATGTGGTGACTCACACCTGTAATCCTAACACTTTGGGAGGCCAAGGAAGGTGAATCACCTGAGGTCAGGAATTTGAGACCAGCTTGACCAACATGGTGAAACCCTGTCTCTACTAAAAATACCAAAAAATTAGCTGGGCATTGTGGCGAGCACCTGTAGTCCCAGCTACTCGGGAGGCTGAGGCAGGAGAATCACTTGAACCCAGGAGGCGGAGGTTGCAATGAACTGAGATCACATCACTGCTCTCCAGCCTGAGTGACAGCAAGACTCCGTCTCAAAAAATATAAAAAAGAAAGAAAATAACAAAGAATAGAAATTATGAAATAAAAAATAAAATCTCTTAAAAAACAGAATCAAAGACTAAGACAGTTTTTGTTCTTGTTTTTTTCAAAAGATCGGCATAAGATTTCAGAAGAAAGATGAAGATGTCAGTGTTGAGCTTAGAGCCATCCAAGAGAACATGGAACACTCGTGCCAATCAGTATAAAACTGAGTGAAAAAAGGAAGACTCCCCAGACTGATACAAAAATGGAACATCTACTCAGTCCTATAAACTATTAAAGAAATTACACTACACTCCAGCCTGGGTGACAGAGCAAGACCCCATCTCAAAAAAAAAAAAAAAAAAAAGGAAATTGAGCTTCTAATTTAAAACCTTTCCTCAAAGAAAACTCCAGGCCCAACTGACATTTCCAGTAATTTTTCCCAAATATTTAAGGCAAAAATATTACGAACATTACGTAAATTCTTCCAAAGAGTATTTTAAAAAACACTTTCCAACTGCTTTTCTGAGTTCAGCATCATCTTAACAAGAGAACCTCACAAAGACATTACATAAAGAAAATTTCATGTAATTTTATACAGTATAAAGAAAATTATAGGCCGGGCGCTGTGGCTCACGCCTGTAATCCCAGCACTTTGGGAGGCCGAGGTGGGCGGATCACAAGGTCAAGAGATTGAGACCATCCTGGTGGGCAACATGGTGAAACCCCAACTTTAAAAAAGAAAAAGAAAACTACAGACCAGTGCCTCTTGTAACCAGAGCTGTTAAACTCCTAACAAAATATTCCTCAGACTGAATCCAGCAATATATAAAAAGACAGCGCATCATGACCAAAGTGAGTCTACACCAGGTTTAACAAAAGTAAAAACTGTAATCATAGTAGGATAAAGAACCTGCAAAAACCACATGCCCTTTAACGTACCCTCTGACATAGCAATGACACTCCTAGGTACATGACTGTGAGAAATAAGTACCCAGGTGCCTGAAAAGGGAAGTACACGAGTGTTCACAAGAGGCATTTCATAAAAACCCAGACTGAAATCCTCCCAGGTGCTGAGAACAGGCAGCTAGACAGCACAGCACCTGCATTCAACCAAGTGCCCGAGTGAGAGAATGCTACTGTTGCCCCAGCCACCTGGCTAACCTCAAGCAGATGAGAAGGCAACACGAAGAACACATCTCAGGATTCCACCTAGACAAGGTTCAAAGTGAGCAACAGAAACCCACAACCTGGCAGGCGTGTGGGCGGCCCCCTCATGGGGACGCCTGAGGGCTCTGGTGGCATCGCCATGTTCAATGTTAGCACCAGTACCTGTTTGCTTCAGAAGATCAACCTGTACACTTTCCTGAATATTTGCTACCCTTAAAAACTGCTACTGGAACACAGGTGGAGTCACGTATGTAATGTCGTTTTAACATTGTTAAAAGATAGGGAGAAAATCCATTTTTGTGTTGTAGTTATGCCATTCTGAGCCCCAACAGATATGTTGTAGGCTTTAGGGCATATAACTGAATTCAATAACCTCTGCAGCCTCTCCACGTCTACGTGAGTTTTGTTTCTGAGACGGGCTGCCAGGGCTGTTGGAGAATGCTGTGTCTGGGCCTTGGACCCCAACTTGGCAGCCCCCACACTGAGTGAGAGCATCCCGGGCCGAGGCCCTTCGTACCTGATCTCGGCTGCCCTGTGGTCTGGGAAATGCTTGTGGAAATGCTTAAGTGCCTGCATCACAGCCGAGGTGCACTCCACATATGTGTAGTCAATCATGATGTCCCCTGCGGAAGGGAAGGAAGAACCAAGGTGCTGAGTCTCACCCTGGCTGCCCAGGGCCTGCAACTCAGGCCAAATCACGACAAGCAAGAGTGTCACAGTGTGCAGAACCCATGCCTGGATGCTGCCTCCCCGACCAACCTGCAGAGCACTGGCCGGCCCAGGACACACACCTGTACTACGAGAGCAAAGATGGGGGGAACGCAGCAGAAAGCTGCAATCCCAGCTCAGAAAGCCATGTGCGATGGGTAGAGGACCAGGAAGGGGGCATGTGAGGTGCCCAAAGGTGGACCAGGGGTGAGATCCTGTCCCCAGACCAATACCATGGCAGCCACGCACACACAGCAGCCTACCAGCCCATGACATGGGTCCCCTCAGTCCCCACAGACACCTCCCTGCAGGTGCTCTGGGATCCACGAAGTGTGCAGTGTGCTCGCGACACACAGCAGCCTCCGCAGAACATAAGCCCTGTGGACTGAGCAGGAGCCAGCCCAGGCTGTGGACCTCACTGGAACCCTCCACCATCCCATCCCCGAAGCCTGACCTGATGCCCTCCTATTCACAACACAGGGATCCTGCCACCCCCAGGGATGGAGGAGCACAGAACATCCTGGGCTGAGGGAGGACTCCAGACAGATCTGCTGGTAAACCTGGGCCCTTGCAGCCTCAGGCAAAGGGGAAAAGCTGGCTCCGGGGTTTGTGTACCACGGTACTGGCCGACTACTCACCAAAGACCTCCGAGGGGTTCAGCAGCTCCAGCAAGTGTCCCCCACGCTTGGTCTCATAAGTGGAGAACCCTCCATCGGGATTCCTCATGTTCAGCAGCTGAAATCACAGAGCACCTGAGAACTCACCCACATGATGAGCACACGCAGACGCGCAGGCCACAGTAGAGCTTTCTAGAGGCAACACTAAGGCTGACAACCAATGGGGCAGGAACGGGGGCAAGAAGCCGATTTCCAAATTAACCAAGCCCTCGGGTGCCCCAAGCAGCAGCTGCAACCTCATCCATCTGGGCCTCCATGCGCAGCCACCTGGGAACATGCCCCCACATGTGCCCATGACTTAGAAACCAAGTGTGTGCTGCTGCCAGAACAGTGCAGGGTCTCCACTGGGAAACACACGCAACAGCCAGATGTGCTGAAAGAATGTGGCACCAAAACCAACAGAAATTCCTTCTTCAGACACCCAGTGGAAACCACCAGAGAGAAACCCTGGGGGCCACATTGGCTCCTGCAAGCATCTGCGCTGAGCTGGACACCAGCTCTGTAGTGCAGGGCCCTGTGCAAACAGCCCAGCAAGGCCCCCAGGGGTCCAGCCAGAGCTCACAGTTCTCCACATGCAAACACCGTCCGAGGACAAGCTCCTACAGCCCGGCCGGAGTGTGTGGTGGGGTGGGGCCCGTGGGAGTGGAGGTGAGCACGCAGCTCATCTGTAGACATGAGCTGTGGACAGGGCTGCTAGGACCACAGCCTTACCACAGCCACAGCATCGCAGAGCCGCTCTCGGGGGATGTGCTCGGTTACATAGGGACACTTCTCCTGCAGGAGCAGCACAGCCTTCAAGGCCTCAGCCGTGCAGTCAGCAACAATCCAGCCACAGTCCAGCGTGCTGAAGGAGAAGCCGCCCTGCAGAACACGACCCGTGACCCTAGGCTGAGGGTGTCCACACCCCAGTCCTCGGAGCCACCCCACATCCCTCCCCACAGTCACAGACATCCGTCCCAACCACAGAGCACCCAGACAGGACGGGGACCCATCCACCAAAGGTGTGGGTGCAGCCAGGGGCCCAAGCCAGGCACATCTAGATGGAACTCCAGGTTCCAGCACAAGGACCCTCGAGGGTAGCAGTTCACACCCTCAACACCTTCAGATCTCACGGGACATGACAGGGCACAGGTGTCTCCCACCCCCACTGTAAACAGGCAACAGCAGCTGCGCTCATGCCTAATTTCATAGCCCACACCGGCTAGAGTCTCTTCTTCCCTCTGCCTTCCCCGGACGCCCTGGCTACACTTCGGCTGTCCTGAAGCCTGTATGTGCCATGACCACCTGAACCGCCCTAAGGCACGGCCACATGTGCAAGCAAACAGTGCCCCCATGTGCCAGGCAGCTCAGCAACATGAGGCATGGGCCCCTATGCCAGGCACTATCACAGCAGGACACCCAAATATGCCAAGGGAGGAATCCCCCCTTCAAAGGGAAGGACCCAACCTGCTGAGGGCAGCCTCCCCTGGGGGATGGGGCAGGGATGGGGCTGGCTCCCACATACCTTGCTCATCTGGCGGTAGTACTTCTGGTAGTCAGGAGGGTTATCTGGGATCTGGGCAGCATCGAGGGCAAATGTGGAAGCAGAGAACATGTCAGCACCTGGGACATCACTGAGATAGACTGGGCAGGACTTGAGAGGCACGACATGCCGGCCACAGCCCCCACTGGTGCTGCAAGGCACCCAAGGGCCCACATCGAGAGCTCACCACCCACTGCTGCTGGGAAATGTGACTGGCCAGCCAGGGCTGAAACTAGCCCAGACGGGAGGCACCTGCCTCCCCTATGATCTCCCCACCAGCCAGGAGGCAAGGAGGTGGCCCAGGCCTTTGTGTTGTGCTCTGCCAGGGGCTCCCACCGCCTCCTGAACAACCCCAGCTTCGTGGACCTAAGCTCCTGGGCTGTCTCTCCTGCCTCAATGAGAAGGGAAGAGGCCTAGACTGTAGTGGGGTTCAGTCAGCCTCCCCAAGTCCCCATCAACCAGAGGAAGTCCTGGGTAGGAGGCAGGAGGCAGGAGCAGCCCGCTGTAGGGTCAGCCAGAGCAGGACAATGCCCCTACCCTGCCTGAGCCCCAGATGGGTGCCAGCCTTGGCCACATGAAGGCCAGGAACACCCAGAGGCCCTGCAGAAGCAATGTCCTGATGACATCTGAAGGGACATGGTGAGACGGGGTGGGGGGGGAGGGGCAGCTGTTCCAGGCAGAAGGACACTGGCTGAGGCCATGGCAGGGACAGCGTATGGGATGACTGTGGCTGCAGATTGGGGTGTAGGCATATGTGAGACACTGAGGTCAAACTGGGGGCTGGGGCACTGTCTGTTGGCAGCTGATCTAGCAGGATGGACAGGGTTTTCGCTGCAAACAGTCTCAAGAGGGAACATCCCCAGGCTGGCATCACCTCCGTGGGCAGAAGGTGCTTCAAAGACCCAGAGGGGGCGTGTAGGCTGCGCAGCTCAGGGTAAATGGCCCCTACCTGTGCCTGGCTCCTGCACACCATGGCTCCAACAGGAGCAGGATGCAGAAACTGCCAGGACCCCCAGCACCTCAGCACCCTGCAGGCCTCACAGAGCTGCTCCAGGTGAGGCCAGCCCAAGGACGGGTGGATGGAACAGTGGTGGGAAGGGGCAACCTGAGAAACCAGTACAGGGAACAGGACAGGGTAGAGGTGAGGTGGGTACTTCAGCCTGTAGGAGCTCCCAGCCCTGATCCCCCTCTTCAGCCCCTTCAGGGCCCCAGGCACAGGCCTCACCTGCGAGAGCCTCAGGAACTCATGTGCCTTCTGCAGGCAGGATGAAAACTCGGGCCTGTGGTGTCCACCCGCCTGGAAGAGACAGCAGGATAGAGAGGCTGAGCCGTCCTTGCACGGCCACCATGGCTAAGTGGTTCCCCGATGGTCCTGGCCACATCCTGCCCCAACTGGGAACCAGAAAGAAACTGGCAGGTATCTCCAGAGAGTGCCAGGGTTTCTTGCTGCACTTACCTTTAAAGACAAAAAATCAAAGGTCCATGAGATATGACAAGATGGAAGGGAGCAGAAGGGACCATCTAGGATGCCAGCACCCCACCCACCCAGTGAGCGTCTATGCCCAGGGGATCTCCAGCACCCCAGTATGGGCAGGTCCTTTGAATGGCCCAGCCCTCAGGGCACTCCAGAAACACCTTCAGAAAATCCCACCAACCTCATTCCCACCAGCATTCAAAATCCACTGTTGTTTCTCTGCAGTATTGGCTGGAAAATGCCCATAATGAGCAGTTCCAGTTCTAAGAGCCTGGAGTCCCATTCCTGCCCACACTCTGAGAAACAGCCTTCACCAGGCTCCCCTGTGCACACGGCCTCTAGCCCCTGCCCTTCCAAAGCCTCTGACCCAGCCCAACACCCAGGGCTGCTGGGCAAGGCCGCCCCCTCCACAGCACCACCATCTCAAACCAGAGGCCAGAGTCCAGGTCACTGGAAACCTCAAGGAGTCGCAAGTGTGTGGCCAGCAGTGCTGCCTTCAGGTGGACGCGAGGGCTCACGTGCACCGGAAGGAAGGTCAGCTGAGGCTGAGAAAAGAGAATGAGCCACGAACCTCTAGCAGAGCTTGGATGGCGAAGGCAGTGTCCCAGATCTGTGAGCCATTGGTGCCCTACACACAAAACAAGGGTGTTACAGCAGCAGCAGCCCCCCCCACTCCCACCTACGGCCTCCAGGATCCGACAGGCCCCTGAGGGCCGGGTGTGGGGGCTCCCATCCAGCCAACACTCAACCTCAGGCTCTGAGCCCTGTGCACCCCTCATGGCTGACAAGGGCCTCAGAGAAGGCTGAGCCCTGCAGGCAGACATGGGTCAGGGAGCCCCACCTTTCTTCATGGGCCACCAGGCAGGACAGTGTCCCTCTCAGGACACCTGTAGGACTGGACAATCCCTCAGAGGCTCCAGCACCCACACACAGAGCATCCAGCTGCCCTTGCCCAATAACAGCGGTGCACCTCAGTCATGGTGATGCCTGGAAATGACCCCCATTTCTGAGTATACCTGAGGTGACAGAAATTCTGCACAGGGCTGGGAAGGCCCCACCTCAAATGTCACCCCGGACCTGGACTCCCAGATACATACTCTGGTCTCAATTCAAAGGGCCGGTGACCAAGCCCCAGTGAGACAGAGTTGGACACTGACCACAACAGACATGGGGATGGTGGCGGGGGGCAGTAGGGGGCAGAGGCATCCAGACATCATGCACTGGAGGAACGAGCCAGCGACCACAGAAAAGCATTCTCACCAAAGAAACACAACGGGATAAAGCCTCAGCGCATGGCCAGTTTACAAAAACTCAAGAGAACAGAGGGAGCAACCAGTCAGATCCGGAACGTGAAGCCCTTCAGGGAGGAGAAGAGGCCACAGGAGACTGCTGTGGATGAACAGGAGCTCAGATACCAACACGCGAAGGCCTGTGTGGGCCTGGCCTGAACCCTGATTCACACACACCAACGGCAGCATGAGGACTACACTCAGGAACCATCAGAATTTTGCTGGGTGTGACAGCCACAGAGCATTCTATAAAAACACAGAGGCCCTCATCAGCCCAAGGTGCACTGAAGAGAGGGTGCAGCGGGAGGGCTGGTCATGGAGCGGCAGGGAGGCCAGGGCCTGATCTGGGACTCGTTACTCATGTAACTCATCCACTTTGCATGTGTTTTGAAAACCATTTCACAAAACATGGACTGTGTCCAGGGAGCCTCAGGGGAGCTCAAGGCCAGCTGGGTGAAAGCCCATGGCTGGGGAAACCTGGCATCTAAGGTAGCCCTGGGGCGGGCAGTGCTGTGCCCCTGTGTGTCCATCCCATACATGACACCCAGGACACCTCTGGAGACTCCACATTTCCACACTGAACCAGGTGGGGGACAGAAGACAGACCTGCAGGGCATAACCCTCACCAGACCACAACACACAGGGCAACACTGTCTGGGCTTCCAACACACCCACTGTGATAATGCACAAAGGGGCACAGGCTCAGCCCAGTTGGACAGAACTGGGGTCTACAGGGCCCCCAGAGCCAGGACAGGACCAGGGTCATCCAGGACCCCACCCTCAACACTGCCCTGCTGCCCCCGGGGCCACACCCAGGACAGCACCATCTACAAAATCTAGACGCTGAGCGGGATGGCGTAGAGAAGGACCTATAGTACATAGCACAGACAGTGCAGGCAGGGAGCCCACGGTTCCTGTGCAGTGAGTGGGCTGTTCTCCCACCTCGATGACCAACCCACTCTGTAGAGCAATGACCTGGAGACCACCACAACCTCTACCTGGAGCAGGCCACACCCAGGCGGATGCTTCCAATGGCACAGACTGTATAGCAGAACACGGTGCTGGCCCCTTCCTAACACAGCTCTCAGCTACTCTGGTCCACAGACTTCTGAGAAATCTGAGACGCCTAGGGCCTCCCCCACAGTGGTGGCAGATGCACAACCCCTGGAGGGCAAGGACCCTGGTCAGGCATCCCTGCCTGGAAACAAGTGTATCTTCTAAAAGCTCAGGGAAGGATCCAGAAAGAAGCCAACTAACGCCATGTGGCCAGTGTCCAGCACATCCTCTCCCTGGACGTGGCGATGTCTACCTCCCCCCTCCCTTGTCCTTGGTGCCCCTCATGACTGGGTTCCAGCCCACTCAGGGCAAGTCCCCAGGCAGCTCCCAGGCCCAGCCACATGTCACCACGGCCCTCCAGGCTCCTGTCCTGTGCACCCACAACCTGAAGAAGGAGCCTCTTAAGAGTGTGGCTGGGCGCAATGGCTCACGCCTGTAATGCCAGCACTTTGGGAGACTAAGGCAGGCAGATCACCTGAGGTCAGGATTTCGAGACCAGCCTGGCCAACATGGTGAAACACTTGTCTCTATTAAAATACAAACATTAGCTGGGCGTGGTGCTACATGCCTGTAATCCCAGCTACTCGGGAAGCTAAGGCAGGAGAATCACCTGAACCTGGGAGGTGGAGGTTGCAGTGAGCTGAGATCGAGACACTGCACTCCAGCCTGGGCAAGAGAGTGAGATTCCATCTCAACAACAGCAGCAAAAAGAGTGCATGGAGGAGAGGCCCCCATTAACCAGAGCCGCCTCCTGCCACAGTAACAAGAGGAGAGCTTCTGCAGCTCCGGGTCTGTCATTACACGGTTGGGCCCACTTGGACCATCAGGGCAAAGAGCAAACAGGACAGCTGCAGACAGACAACCGAGAACTGTGGGCACCCACAGGGACACTGCCAGGGGCCTCGACTGACTCAGTCTCTGGTCACACGCTGCCGGGACTTGGTCCAGGAGGAGTTACTTCTGCATCTTAATGAACCCAGTAGGAAAGGAATGAAGGGTAGAAATGACTGCAAAACAGCCGGCAGCTGCGGTCCTGCAGCCCTCACCCCTGCAGCCCTCACCTGCATTTTCATGCCGTCAAGGCCCATCCTGTGAGGACAAAAATGGCCAAGTCAGGCGCAAGGAGAAAGCTGGAAGCCCAGCCGGCTACCCAGACCCTGCACTCAGGAAGGTCCCAGAGAGGGCATCTGTCCCCTCCCCCAAGGCCTGGCACTGGCCTGGATGCCGACCCAGCTGGGCTGCTGGGCTGCTAGACTCCTGGGCACACCCTCTAGAGAAGACAGGACACACTCACCCAGGAAGGGTGCAACCAAGCCAAAGGGCAGCAGGAGGCTCCCCGACCCCCGACCTCTGACCCCTGACCCCAGGCTGCCTCAGCCCTGTTGCCTGTGTTCGGTGTTGTGGGACCAACCAGGGCTTCCCACGGTGGGACCGTGCTGTGCCATCCACGACAGGGGCCCACCTTCAGGGCATACTCCATGGCTGACAAGCTCCCCTTGTCCACGAGTCTTCCCGACACCAACCTGCCCTGCTGCCCACCACGCCCCTCCTCACCCTACCTTCTGGAACCACCCCACTCTTCCACTGGGTGGCAAATCTTCCAATTCAAAGACAACCCTCGGTGGCTTCTACAAGCCCTAACACTGCTGGTCCCTGGTGGTGTTTCTTGGTGGTATTCCCTGGTGGTGTTCCCTGGTGGTGTTCCTTAGCGGTGTTTCCTGGTGGTGCGTGCTCCCTGGCGGTGTTCCCTGGTGGTAGTCCTTAGCAGTGTTCCCTGGTGGTGTTCCCTGGCAGTATTCCCAGATGGCACCATGGTGGCCCCCTCACTGGGATGCGGCTGAGGCTCAGATCCAGCCTTCGTGTGGCTGCACTGAGAGGCCTCACCAGCACATCCCAGCCACACTCACCAGAGATAGTCCGGGATTCTGGAAATGTGCTCCTGGAAGGCAGGGGAGGTGGGCCCGTCCACATACCAGCGTACAAGCATGTTGATGGTTTTTGAGATCTGCTGGAGACACGGCCCTGTCAGGGCTTTGCTCCAGACCAGCAGCAGTCCCCAGGGACAGGGTCCCACGCAGCTCACTCAGGGCCAGAACAGGGGCCTTCTGCCCTAGCAGGCGGGACCGAGCGAGGATGGACAACTGTGTCCCCAGGACCCGACTCACACACAGGCAGCATCAGCCGAGGCCATGGCCTGGTGTAGGATGAGGAGGGGCCGCACTCCATCAGTGAGAAGTGAAGGGTTCCAAGAGAGGCCATAGGGGCCAGCCCACAACCAGAGGGGCATGGGCTGTCAGGTGCCTTAGAAACAACACAGGGGACAGAGGCAGGGCCTGAGGGGCCCAGGAAGAGATATGGACATGGGACTGCAGTAGTAGGAAAAGTTTGCTCCCCTCCTTCCTCAGAGCAGACTGTTCCAGAGGCCCCAACTTTTTATTTATGGATCTTACAAGTCAAGATCCAATTGTAAGATGTTTCTAACATGCTTAGTACAGATGTGCTCTCTATGGGATTAAACCAAAACCCACATAGAACCACATCACTGCTGAGCAGAAAACAAGGGACCTGCTGCAAGGTCAGTCAGGATTAGTGATTCACTGAGGTGGCATCAGGCCCAGAAACCCGAGATGCGGCATCAGGGTTGGACTCAGTGGCCTAGCGCCACCTGGGTACATCCAGAGAATGCCAAGGCCAACCCACTACACCGCAGCAGCTACGGCACAGCCCAGAAGCTGCTGACTCTGTCCGGAAGCAGCCCTGTGCCAGCACAGCCCGGGGATTTCACCCTCCAAGGTCACTGAACTAGCCCATACCTGGCCCCCTGCAGGCCCCACAGAAGAGAGAGGTCCAAGTCTCTGGTTAGGCAGGAGGAATCAGGAGTGGAACCCGAGGACCCTGCTACTCCCACCCACCCCGGGCATCTCTAAACCCCCTGGGGGAAGGACAGATAATGAACAATTTGGGGAGGGGAATTCAGAAGGAAGCAAGTGAGAAAAAACACCCCTCCCAGCTAGCCAGAAAGATCTCAGGAAGGGCCTCCAAGAGAGGGTCAGGCACCTCCTAGGATCAGGAAGAGGCCTCCAGGAGAGGGTCAGGCATCCCTTAGGACAAGAGCAAGTGGAGAACAGGAGGGAGGGTTGAGTGTGGTGGGGCGGCTTCACTGAGCTGGGCGTGCAAGGAGCCAGGACAGAGTCCTCAAACGCCTGTGGGATCTGAGGGCCACCTCCCAAATGATGGTGCACTAGGCTCCAGGGGACCCTACTCCCAGCTCATGGCCCAGCCTCCCAGACTTTACTTTGGACCCCAACCCCCAGGGGCTGCAGCCAGAGGCTGGACAGAGGCACTGACCGGGCCTATGCTGATGCTCTTGGTGAATCGGTCGTCAGCCGCGATGTGCTCATACAGCTTCTGCACGGCCTGCTGCCGCAGGTGGGCACTGTGATAGCGCTCATACAGGTTGAGGAACGCTGCAGGGGGCAGGGGACAGTGGACGCCAGGCACCAGGACACTGGCCTCAGCCTGGAGACCCGTGCACCTGGACTTGCCCTTCCCCAGGGTTCCCCTTCCCCCCCACCCCCAGGCTTGGTTGCTGAGCTCCTCCTTCCCTGCCCAGGAGGGGCTGTCCCACACCTCCTACACACACCCTTGCTCAGGATGGGCTCCTGAGAGTGGAAGTCAGCTCAGCCGGTTCTTGGGGTGGAAGGGCAGGGCTATGAGATCCCGCCTCCTGGTGCCTGGCACAGAGGAGGTGGCCCAGTGCCACTGGCAGGGGATGAGTTCATGAATGAGTGGGTGACACCCTGACCACAGGCTGCCCTGCCAGCCCCTCAGGAGGCACTCACCATATACCACATGGAGCAGCCAGCTGTGCGGTGTGTACAGCTCATCGGGGGCCACGTTGTTCCTCTGCGCCTGCCAGTTGATGCTGGCGAAGTCCTCCACATAGAGCTCCTGGTGGGGCCAGCCGGCTAGCCTGGCTCAAACCAGGAGGGGCAGCCTCCCACCACCCACCATCAGGGCCCTGGACCAGCCCCTTCCTGGGTCGGGGGGGGCCCTCCAGCAACTGACCCTGAGGGTACATGAAGGCCCGGCCATTGTGGCTATGTGCAGACCACTCTGCAGAGTTCCCCAGCTCCATGAGCCCCAGGCCTGCCTAGAAGTTCATTTCCTTCCTCTGCCCCTCCTCCTTCCCCAGGGCAGGCCTGATAGACATCCTGCACCTCAAACCCCACCTCAGGACCTGCTTCCTGAGGACACAGTGCACATCTGTCTCCTGCACCTCTTGAGTCCTGGATGTCCCCCTAAGAACCCTGGGCAACGGCTGCTGCCTGTCCTATAGCACGAGTCCCCTCTGGGCAGAGCTTGGAGGAAGGTGGAGGCCCACTCTGATCACGGGCTCTCGGTTCCACAGGGCCCCCAGGTGAGTGGACAGGTGTGGTTAGATTCCAGGAGCCCTAGGCCCTATGGGTCCCAGCCCCAGAAGCCTTCACTTTGTTCCCTGATGAGGTCCTACCTGGCGGAGGCTCTGGATGAGCGGGTCCTCCGTGGCACTCAGCCGAACAGCGTAGCAGTAGCTCATGGGCAGGTAGACCTGCCGGCAGTGGCACCACAGTGTGGAAGGGTGTGCCGGTGCCCAGTCAGGAAACAGCCTGGGGCAACAGCAGGAGTCAGGTGGAGACCCCCAAGACTCAAGCCTGCCCCTACGCCAGTAGGGGCCCTTCCAAGCATGGACACTGGTGGATGGCTGTTCCCCACCGCATCAGTGCACCTGCGGGCATTTCTCAACCTTGCTCCTGAGGGGGACAGTCGAGCCATAGGTGCACTCTCCAAGGAGCTGCACCTCCTGGTTCAGTTAGCATTTTATATCCTAAAGCCAAGTGATGGAGCTCCTAAATGCTTAGGATGACTGTGGGTTTCTTAGCTGCAACAAATATACCTTGGTAACACAAAGCATCAACAAGGAGAATATGGGGTGAGGGCCCCAGGGAATACTCTTGGCTATCTTTGCAACTTTTCCAGAAATTGGAAACTATTCCAAAATTTAAAGTTTACTTTTAGGCTGGGCAATCCTAGCACTTTGGGAGGCCAAGGTGGGCAGATCACGAGATCAAGAGGTCAAGGCCATCCTGACCAACATGGTGAAACCCTGTCTCTAACAAAAATACAAAAATTAGCTGGGCATGGTGGCACATGGCTGTAAGCCCAGCTACTTGGGAGGCGGAGGCAGGAGAATCGCTTGAACCCGAGAGGCAGAGGCTGCAGTGAGCTGAGATTGCACCACTGCACTCCAGCCTGGCAACAGAGCAAGACTCAGTCTCAAAAATAAATAAATAAATAATAAGGTTTACTTTTAAAAGTTTATTTAAGAAACTTTAGGCCAGGCATGGTTGCTCACGTCTGTAACTCTGGGAAGCCAAGGCTGGCAGATCACCTGAGTTTGAGACCAGCCTGGCCAACATGGCGAAACCCCATCTCTACTAAAAACACAAAAATTAGCCAGGCATGGTGGTACACACCTATAGTCCCAGCTACTCGGGAGGCTAACGCAGGAGAATCAGTTGAACCCAGGAGCCAGAGGTTGCAGTGACCCGAGATCATGCCACTGCACTCTAGCCTGGGTGATAGAGAGAGACTCTGTCCCAAAAAAAAAAAAAAAAAAAAAAAAAAAAGACACCAGATAATAAGAAATTAATGTTGGCTTTGCTGGGTATTTAAAAACATTCGGTTCTATTTAGAAAAACAAACACTGATCTTTTAAAGGCAAGCACACTGAGTCCACAGGTGAGGTGTGATGCTGGGACACGCTTCACATTCAGCAGCAAAGGAGACAAGGTCAGCAGCAGCAGCAACAGCAGCACAGGATGCCCCTGCACAGGCTGTGGGAGGGACAGTTCCTTCTACTTCTACAGATGCTCAGTTTTCCACAAGATGCAAGCCACCCCGCCCTGCCTGCAGCCTGACTCAGGGTACCTCCATCCACAGCATAGCCTCCTTCCTGCCAAGTTGTGAACCCCCTTTCTGTATCCCTGTAGGACTCAACTCGATCAAGGACCCCTCCAGAAGCCTAACTGCACCCACCCACAGAACAACCACCCCTCTCTAACAGCCTGCACCTGACCCACAGTCTCTGTCCCTCTACTCTTCAGGGAAGCAGCAGCCACCCAACAACCAAATCAACAGCAGGCATACCACATCTCTGGGAACAGGGTATTGAGGCCTTCCCAGCTGTAAACATTCAGGACAGCCAGCCAGAACTTCCCCCAGGAGGGGATGGCCACAGCACCACCTGAGAGGGAAAAGAATAGGCCCGTGTCATCTGCTGCTTATCAGCAGAGCCCACGCTGTCTCTAGCTGGGAAGCTTCAACCTCCAGGAGTCACGCATGACCCTCTCCATGAGCCAAGGGCAGCCTCATGCGGATACTGCAACCCCATGTGAGAAGCAGGTTCCAGAGTACTCAGAAATGCCCTGGACGCACAGTCCCTAGGTGAAACCAGTGGCTTTACTGGGAGTGTTTCCAGCCCCAGGAGAGGTGTTTCCAACCCCTGGCCCTAGGAAGGAACACATGAAGACAGCTACCTGGAAGGTCCAGGGACACCTCAGTGCTCAGGCGAGCGAGGGGCCCAGGTGCACATGGCAGCCACGTCCACATGTGCCTGGAGAAGGCAATGAGCGGAAGCGAGAGCGCACACTCGGCCTCGCACTCGGAGCCAAGCCTCAGCTGCCCCAGTCTGTCATCTCCACTTGGCAGACTGGTGCTGTACAGGAACAATGACAAGCCCCAGACTCCAGAGCAGCTCCGGCACACTGGCCCCATATGCCAGAGCCACTTTCAGCAGCACTCAGTTCCGGCATAGCCACACTGTCTAAACACACTTCTGAGGAGTCCCTGCTCCAAACCCCAAAGGGTATGCAAAAGTTAGTAACACCCACAAAGCTACTAAAGTGCAGCCTAAACACATTCCTCCGCCAGGCAGGTGCCAGGACTGTGGTGGGGAACCAATCAGCAGCCTTGGGAACACAGCATCAATGACACCAAAGGCTGACAGTGAACTGATGACAATAGTGACAAGCTCATGAAGGAAGGAGGCAGGATCTCATGGGAATGCATCACAGGACACTCCACCTGGCATGGTAGTTCAGGAAGAGGCCCTCAAAGAAGAAACACTGAAAGTGTGAGCCACCGGGGCAGGAGTGGAAGGTAAGAGGCTCCAGGTTAAGGAAGCAGTGCATGGTGAGCCCTGGTGTAGTAAGGACCTTTGAGGAGCTGACAGGTCACCCCTGTGCATGGAGCAGAGAGCAGGGCAGGCAGGATGGGCTACGGAAGGTCTGTGAAAGGCAGGGGGCAAAAACCAGGCTCTGCAGAGTCACAACATGAGCTAGACTTTCTTGGAGCAGCAGGACCCATGGATTCCCTTGGCTGAAATCACCCTTAGGGCTGACAGGCAAGAGGAGAGGTAGCCAGGCTGGGCTTGGTGAGGTCAACGGCCAGCTTGAAAGGTGCAAGCTCCAGGGCTGCTCTTGCCTGCAGCCAGGCTGCCCCCAGAAGGTGGCTTCCTGTGTTCTTCCTCAAGCAACAAATTAATGTGTTTCGTTTAGGTCTTGGTCAATTCAGGAAACAAATAATTACCTGGTTGTCTTAATTTGCTTTGTTTATTTATTTATTTATTTATTTTTTAGAGACATGGTCTCACTCTGCCACCCAGGCTGGAGTGCGGTGGTACAATCAGCTCACTGCAACCCAGAACTCCCGGGCTCAAGTGATCGTCCTGCCTTATTAGCCTCCAAGTAGCTGGGACTACAGGTGCATACCATTACACCTGGCTAATATTTTATTGTTTTTGTAAACACAGGGTCTCACTATGTTGCCCGGGCTGGCCTCAAACTCCAAGGCTCACTTCAGTCTCCCAAAGTGCTGGAATTACAGGCGTGAGCCACTGTGCCTGGCTCTTAATTTGCTTTTTAAGAAATTATGCATCTGTTAAACAGTTTCTGCCTATTTCTGCTTTGACAAATTCCCTGTTGATGTGTTTTGCCCACTGTTTCATCTGGAGGTGCACCTTTCTATATCTCGTTTGTGAGAGCTCATTATAGAGCTGACGTGAACCCTTGACCCAGCACATGCTGCACGGGGCATACCTTTCTTGTGAAGAAGGTTCCGGGCTCGTACCACGTCAGGATCCTCAGGTCCAACACCCAGAATTCTGAGACAAACATAGTTGAGTGCAGTCCCAAACACGGTGGACTTATCCTCAATGTGCCTACGGGAGCAGAGCATAGGTGAGAAACCAGTATCTGTCCTTACTTCTAAGAAATAAAGCAAAACTTTCTGGAGTTTCCTCAGAAAACCAAGAATGCTAAAATCCCTTACTCTGACATACCATGCCAACAGAGGAGACACCTGAGCAGCTACTCTCCAGCAGGAGTTCATGCACCTCCAATGACACCCGAGCCCCTGCTCCATCCACCTGACCTGCCTGCTCTACACCTTCCCGAGGGCAGTCCACATTGGGCTACAGCTCTGCTCCCAAAGTGTGTGCCACACTGCAGGAAAGCTGTCCAGCCCTGCCTCCACCTGCTGCCAGCCCAGAATCTATGGGGGGAAGCCCTGCAAGAGCCGAGGCAAGAGTCTGAGGCCTCAGTCTGTTTTCATATAAATATTGAATTAGAAAAGAATTAGAGATATAATTACATAATTATTCCTACATATAATTATTATATAATCACATAACTATTTACATGTAATCATAAATGCATACATATATACAATCCTATCATCTTTAATTTTACTAGTAAGTCTCAGGTCATGAAGTAGTTCTTCTCTACAGGTGTGAAGACAAGAAACAGTGAAAATAAAGACACAAGACACAGAGATAGAGAAAAGAGTTTGAGCCCAAGGGTCCACTGCCAACCAGATCTTGGAGACCAGCAGTGGCCTGCAGGGCATGGACACTCTGACTTATTACTGAGTACAAAGCAGGGAGCAGGGTAGAAAGGCTGAGGCAATGGTGGTCAGTGACAGGTCAGGTAAGTCACAGGTCTTGGAGACAGGGGCTCAGATTTTCAAGAAGCCAAGGCAAGGGGAAAACCTAATGCGTCAGCACTTTTTTCACACTTGTCAAGAATACCAAGGACATTAAAATTTGTTACTATTACTAATTCTTATCTTTTGAGAAAGAGACGAACCACGTGCTGAAGCAGAATGTGAAAGTAGACGTGGAACATGACCACTGAAGCACAGCATCACATAGAGACAGTTAAGTCCCCGGATGTCTGCAGGCCTTTCTGACAGCCGCCAGGCCTACCACAAGAGCTTGGAAGAGCAGAGTTTTCTCCTAACTCCCCTGAGGAAGGAGACATCTGGGCCATCTTGGACGTCTCCTTCCCTAGCTGGCTAAACAGCGGGCACTTTCACAGCGCTGGCGCTGCCGCACAGCCAAGGTGCCCTCTAATAGCCCTTATGCGGGCATGACACAGGGCTTAGAGTACCTTAGGGTCACCTCTTTCCCAATGCCACTTCAGTTCCACACTTCTTTACCTGAGGCTTATAGTAAAATTAAAGATTATATGATTGGCCGGGCGCGGTGGCTCAAGCCTGTAATCCCAGCACTTTGGGAGGCCGAGGCGGGTGGATCACGAGGTCAAGAGATTGAGACCATCCTGGTCAACATGGTGAAACCCCGTCTCTACTAAAAAAATACAAAAAATTAGCTGGGCATGGTGGCACGTGCCTGTAATCCCAGCTACTAAGGAGGCTGAGGCAGGAGAATTGCCTGAACCCGGGAGGCGGAGGTTGCGGTGAGCTGAGATCGCGCCATTGCATTCCAGCCTGGGTAACAAGAGTGAAACTCCATCTCAAAAAAAAAAAAAAAAAAAAAAAGATTATATGATTGCATATACGTATATTTATTATTACATGTGAAAAGCTATAGGATTATTTATGATCATATATAGGAATAACTATGTAACTATATCTCTAATTCTTTTCTAATTCAATATTTATATGAAAGTAGACTGTGGCCTCAGACCGTTGCCTTGGCTTTTGCGGGGTTTCCCCTGCACAAGAGTCAAGGGCAATTTTCTTCTACTCAGTGATAAGAGACTGACAGTTTCCATATGTGGGTCTCAAGAGTGTCCTAACAGCCACAAAACCCATTTAACACGAGGTGTGAAGCCAAGGCCCCACCTGCACAGCCTCAGCCCACTCCCCTCCTGCTAGGCTCTCCCCAACCCACCCCAGGCCCACAGCTGCCATCCTCCTACCCCCCGGCAGCTGCCTGGAAACTCAAGCATCTCCCACATGAGAACACACACGTGCGTGTGCAGTAACACTGGGGCAGGCACACTCACAGGCCCCAGCCGCCGTCGGGTAGCTGCACTGACCGCAGGTACCGCACAATCTCTTCTCTGTATCCGGCTGGCAGAGGGATGCGTGCCACGTGGCAAGTGATCAGGAGGCCTGTGTGACAGGAGAGATGTTCCTTGCTTTGGGGAGGTGGTCATCACTGCTAAGACCAGGCCCCTTTCCTCCTAAGCACCCCACTCCAACAGGGAGCTACCTACTTCCCACAAAAACACCCCTGGAAAGGCCATTCCTCCCAGGCCAACAGGGACTTTGGGAACAGGGCCAGAGAAGACGTCAGCCACGGCACAGGCAATGCTCCCTGCCTAGGGCCTGCAGAGCCCACTCAGCCATGCATGGATCGCATGACCCTCTGCGTCAGAGAAACACCAAACACTGCACAGCACCTCAGGAAGGCCTCCCCCAAGTGCCCTGAAGGTCCAAAAGGAACCAGCATTTTAGATCAGTGGACCCTCCATGAGTGGAGACTGTTGGTCTTGCTTTAATATCTGCTGGGAAAAAAATACAAAATTGGTCACCCTTGGATGGGGTAATACCTACTTGCTTATTCATATTTTTCTGCTTCATAGATTTTTTTATAAGCATATGCTGCTTTGCAAATGTCAGGGGGAAGGGAGTGACAACAATAATTATCCACTAAGAACCTCTGTCCCCAGTCTGGTCATCTCAGGCACGGTGCTCACAAGGCACCCTCCACCTCCACTCCCCATGCTTGGTTCCATCAGCCATGCGCCCCCAGAGCCTGGCACGGGGCAGGTCTCAGGGCAGATCCCAGCCACATGTGCCATGGAATGAATGCCTGACTCTGGTTTAGAGCATCAGAAGCCCTAGTGGACAAACCATACAGACATGCCCTGGAAGGAGAGATGGACTGAGAAACACCGCACAGGTTTACATAAAATGAGCTATCCCAAAACATGCTTATCTCTTCCAACAGTTATAATGCTGTTAGGACAGGGAAATGTGCAGACAGGAGCACAGCCAGTCTGCAGAGCCAGCAACTTCCTGATTTTAAAGGCAAGGAAATGGAGGCACAGCCAGTAAATGGTGGGGCTAGGTCAGACCCCTATCAGTGCTCACCACAGTGCTGCCCAGTGCCACAGAGGCACACTTGACAGGAGCTGTCTACATAGGATCATTTTCCAAAGTCCAGAAAGAAGGAAGAAAAGGCCCAACTCACAGCCAGCCCACAAGAAGGGTCCCAGCAAGCTAAGCCCAGAGCCAAAGCAGCAAGAACAAAACAACACAGTAACCCCACTGACCAAACACCACAGCGTGCCTGACACTGTGCACATAACCAAACCTGATTCCAATCCTGTCACAGATGAGGCTACTGAGGCAAAGTGAGGCTGACTCATCTCCAGACCAACTCTATGTCATTGTCTTACCATGAACCCCGGGAACCGTCTCAACAGGCCCTGATGGGGCCAAGGGAAGAAAGAGCACCTCAACTTCCCCTAATGACAGGCCCTCAAATCCCAGGACAGAAAAACTCAATGCTGTACAGTTCAGGTGGCAGCAGGGCTGGGAGTCAAAGCAGAGAAGGAATCCCAGTGCTCGCCCTGCTAGTCTGGTGGCCTGGAATAAATATGCCTCGGCTTCCTAATGGATCCCATTATGCTTATTTAAGGACTAAAAGAAGAGCAGGCCTTGAGGAGGGCTTGGACTGCAGTAAACACCATGGAACCATTTTTAACATTAAAGGCCAACTCCTCCCAAACTAACACATAAGCCTGATGCAACTTCATTCAAAGTCCCAACAGGTTTTATTCTGGGACAGAATCAGGATAAAGGCAATTTGGATGAGTTAAATGGATAGACACAGCTAAGAGATGTTTTAAAAAGAAAGGCAACAAAGGTATATAAGGACTTTAAATCGACTACAAAGTTATAACTAACAGCATAGTAAAAGAAAACAACATATCACTAAGAGTTATCACCAAAAAGAAACCCTATTTATGTAGGAATTCACATCAGTGAAACAATGTTATTACAAGTCACTAGGGAAAAGGTCCTATTGCATAGGAGATTTCCCATTTTACAAGGCTGAGGATTTCTGTGAAGAAACACTCCTAGGATGCAAGATAGTCTTGTGTAGCCAAACCAGTTCAGCACCCAGGCAATCCAATTGCTATCCTCCTCCTACTCACTGGCCTGAACCTGAAGCTCCCCTGCATGCGCTCCCCTGCAATAGCTCAGGATAAGTTCACGGCAGTTATCAGCTGCCCGCCCACCACTGTGCCCACCTACAGCCCCTTGGCATAGGCTGGGCCTTCCACCTGGAATGCCCATCCCACTCTGTGCGTAGACTTCAAAGTCCACCTT